TCCCTTATTCCCTGCTAGCCCCCCCTAATCCCTAAATATTCCCCATCAGCCCCCAGTAAGTAAACCTTTTTGCAAAGGCATCCGAGATCCTGGCTACCGGCATCCTGAACCCTGCCGAGGCACAAGCCCAATGCAGGGAATCACCCGGGTTTAGGGTTCAGGGTTTAGGGATTAGAGTTTAGGGTTCAGGGTTTAGGCTTTTGGTTTTAGGGTTCAGGCATTGGGATTAGGGTTTAGGGTTCAGGGTTTAGGCTTTAGGTTTTAGGGTTCAGGGTTTAGGGTTTAGGGTTCAGGGTTTAGGCTTTAGGGTTAAGGGTTCAGGGTTTAGGTACTTGGAGATTCCTTGGGACGCAGTGCATAGGGTTTAGAGGGGAGAGATTTTAGGGTTTAGGGTCATTGAGACTTGGTAAACGGATTCATAATGGGGATGACTAGGAGCATCTTATGGCTTATAGGGGTTTAGGGTTTAGGGGTTTAGGGTGTTAATCTACTTACTAAGTCCCCCCTGACCCTCCAAATAGGGGTCCAGTATCTCTCCCATAGGTTTAGGGCTTAATACCCTTGGGATCCAAATAGCACCACTGTAGGCAACGTAGAGTTTAGCGTTCAGGGCTTAGGGATTTGAATAGCCCAATGTAGGTCTAGGGTTCAGGGAACGGAGATCCAAATAGCCAATTAGTTTAGGGTTTAGGGCTTAGGGATCCAAACAGTCCAATGTAGGAATATTTACAGACTTTTGCGCCCAATGAAGCCACCATTTGTATACTTGGATCCCTACTGTGGATGGAGGAAATCTTGCACCGCCTGATATATTTTACTTCCTAATAATTTGAGTACTTCGGGCATCCGATATACGTGGTGCAAGATATCTTGCATCCACAGTAGGGTCATGCAAAAGTTTGAACTCTTGTCGCATTACGGCCGTTGTGTGTGTGTGTTTATTTTTTGATATATCAACATTTGCCAACGTGGCTGCTCCGCTTGTCGCATGATGCCCCATAGATTCTACAGGTTATGTAGGGCACAGGTGTCGCGTGCAATACATGAGTGCAGAGATTTTCCGGTTCTCAGGAGGATCTAGATGTCTCCGTCAAATTTTCATATCTCTTTTCAGAAGAAACAACCAATTTGACTTGCTTTTAAGATTTCGCTGAGATGGTTAAGCTTCCCTTGCTAGTTCCTAGCAATTGCCCATATGGGTATGTAAGCAAGCGGGCTATTACCTGCAGTGTAAAGCAACATGACTGACAGGCGTTCATCTTGAATATTTATCTGATGAGTTAGTTGGGTAACCGTTTACCCACAATGCCTGCGAAGACTTCGACGTGAGCTGCTAATGCCGGGTTCTGATTATAAAC